TCTTCTTCTTCTTCTTCTTCTTCTTACTTCTTCTTCTTCTTCTTCTTCTTCTTCTTCTTCTTCTTCTTCTTCTTTCTCGCCCCTGTTCAATTATCCAGATCTGTTCCTTCTTCTTCTTCTTCTCCTCCTCCCCTCTGTTCTTTCTCGTCCTCCCTCCAGATCTGTTCCTCGATCTTTCTTCTTCTTCTCCCCCGACAATTATTGGGGAAGGGTGTTTTGGACATTTCCATTCTAAAGTCAACACTTCATAAAAATGGGAAAAAGTCCAAATGGGAAGTTTAATACCGGACGGAGGGAGTAATGGTAATATATAGAGACTAAAAATGCAAACTACATGTAAAACTATAAAGAGTTTTTTATAATTTTGGATTTTCCAATCTATGAGCAAACATTAAATAACTATTTGCGTTATTTTTTAATCATTTCCTTACCATTTCCATGTTCCAAACACAGCATTATAGAGTATCTCACCTGGTACCAGACACAGATTGCCGTTACAGGGATGAAGATGACAAACACTTCCCATGCTGCCTGTGACATGACTGCAACTGTGCCAAGAAGCTGAATCACTGAAAAAGCACACCACCCTAACTTGCCTGCCATCTCCAAATCAAGCACACTTTGGTCTGTAGATGCCTGTTCATAGAAGAAATAACCACACTACTTCAAAAGTATGTTTAATTAATTTTAGAAACAAATGCTTATAAGTAGACTTGATAGTTCATAAAAATGTTCCTTGCTAAAATAAAAAGTTGTTGCGTGATGGAATGTGAGTTTTTTTAGACGGAGGGAGTATATGTCATTATCTTGATGTTGATGTTACTAAGAAGATTATTATTGCTCACCCGATTCAAAATTCTTCCAGTGGGAGTAGAATCAAAGAATGCCATAGGTGCACGAAGAATGCTGTGCAACATGTTTCTAAACACTTTTTCTGCAGTCTGAAGCCCTGTCGTAGCCAATAATGTGGCTCGGAGTAGCACACAAAGTGCACTTCCGACTGAAAGAAGTATATATATAAGTAATATGAACTTCATCTTTGAGGTTAATGGCTCTTCATTGCCCCTAGGACAAGCCCACGCCATCCAATAGTTGCTAGCCACCTGCAGAACTTGGAAAGACAATTGGGCTAGAATGATTATGGGAACAAAAGCACCACGTTTTACAAGAGTCAAGTAAGCCAAATAAACTTCTTTCCCAATGCTTCCTTTTTCTCTTTCTTCATCATGCACGAGTTTTCCATCATTCTCTGTTATCTCAACGCTGAGGTTATGTTCTGAATCTTGCTTAATGTATGGGAATTCTGAATCTATATTACTATCAGTGTCAAAATCACAGTTTGTGACCAAATTTTCTGATGGTCTGCTCGAGTTCTCTGCCGTCAAGATTGACTCTAGAGCTTGGTTGTGAGCTCCAACTAGAACTTCAAATCCAATGTTATGCTTTAGAAGGTCTTCAAAGGTGCCGGCTTGTGCTATTCTGCCATTTTCCATGACCTATTGAGAATCATATTAGAATATCTTCTTTCATTGCTTTATTTTTTGGCATCGCCTCATAAAAAACAAACTTTATTATTTGAATCGTTCTCCGGTTAAAAACTTGCATCAAAATATTGAATGAACTGTTTTTTTATGCAATACCAGAATGAGATCAGCAGCCGGAAGAAATTCAACTTGGTGGGTGACATAAAGTATGGTCTTGTTCTTGAGGAAACCCATCAAACATTCCTGCAATGCTCACAAAATATAAGTTAAGTCACCAAACTCCCTACTGTTATTGATAGTTTGGTAACACTTCCTCCTATGTCTTTTATGTTTTCTGTTTCGAAATCTCAATTCATTAGCAGTTGATATTTTCAATGTATGTTGAGACGATGATGACGGGTTTTAAAATTTCATCTTAATATTCCTTCATTTGAAGGTTTCCCCTCATAACTCTCCATATTTGAATCACTTCATTTCCTTTTTTACATTATTATCACGGCATCGCCTAGGCGTCCAGGCGGCATGTTTCTCGCCATGGCCAATCGACTCGCCTAAGTTTCAATACCTCGCCTAGGCGTCGCTGTGATGAACATGTGGCTTACTTCCTCCGTCTCATTAAACTTTTCAAAGATGAAAAAAGGTGCTTCCTAAAAATGTGTATTTTTGAGATTATTTTCTATTTTTACCTTTATAATAAGGTAGAATATGATGTGTGGGATATATGAGTCATAATTATAAAATAATATCGAAACTACACATTTTTAGGATGCACCCTTTTTCGTCTTTGAAAAGTTTTATGGGACGGAGGAAGTACAAGATTTCCCTCTCATCTAAACAAATTCACTTTTTCACTTTCCAAAGCTTTTCTTAAATTCAGTGATACTCAAACTTATTAACGGGTTTTTTGGGATGAATGGAGTATTAAATCATTTAAAACAACTCAAGTACACACCTTGAAGAGATGTGAGCCTGTATGGGCATCCACAGCGCTGAAAGGGTCATCAAGCAGATATATGTCAGAATCCTGGTAAACAGCACGGGCAATTTGTATCCGCTGTTTCTGCCCCCCACTCATATTTATCCCTCTTTCTCCAATTTCCGTTAGATCACCGGCAGAAAATAATTCAAAGTCTTTCTTGAGGGCACATGCCTCAACAGTTCGCTCATACTTGTCCCTTTCATATGATTTTCCAAAAAGAATATTTTCCCTGATATTTCCTGTTAGTATCCAAGGAGACTGAGGAACATAGGCCATCGTACCACTAATCTTGACTGCTCCTGATAACTTCACCATTTCTCCAAGGATGCAGGAAAGCAGACTTGATTTTCCTGATCCAACGGTCCCACAAACTGCCACCTTCATCCCCCTTTTCACTGCTAAATCTATTCCAGTAAGTGTTGGGATTCTTGATTCTACTGTATTCCAGTTAAAAGTTCCATCATTGATCAAAATCCCAAATTCAGTTTCGTGTTTCTGGACAAACTCAACTATGTCGTGTTGAATCTCTTCTTCTTGCAGGTAAGAAGCAATTCTATCAGCAGATACTCTTCCCTGTGCAATCACAGAGAGCAAATCAGGCAAATTAAAAATAGGATCTTGAAGCATCCGAAACGTAGCAAGTGCAGATAACACTCTCCCAGCTGTGAGTGGAATTCCCATCGCAACACATCCAACAAAAGTCGAAACTGAAATGAACGTTGGAGATCCCCAAAAGACAAAAGCTGAAAATGCTGATAATCTTAGTGATTTCCAGAGCCAGTTATGCTCAATGTTTCTTAACCTCTCAAGCTTGTGAAGATAGAAATCGTCCCATCCCTGAAGCTTGATGGTTTTCATGTTCTTGAGAACTTCCGAGGTGGATTTCATCCTTTCATCCTTAGATTCCATGATTTTTGTTTGGTACCATTTCTGAATCCTAGTCAGTGGTATGTTTACAGTCATCACTATAATGGTTGCGGCTAATGCCACAAATGAGCCCGTCCCAAGATTCATATGCAGGATGTATATTGCTAAGGTTATTTGGACAGGAAGCATCCAGATTGTATTAAGGTACCATATAAAATCTGTGATTCTCTGAACATCAACACTCATTAGATTGATGATCTCTCCGCTTGAGTGGCTTTGACGCGACTGGCTAGACAGAACTATACCCTTTTGGTAAATGTGGGATATTAGTGCTCCCCTTAACCGAAGGCCAAGCTGACGAGCCCCGAATATCCACTGCCTTTGAGCCACAGTCTCAACCATTTTAGCTCCAAGAAAACCCAATGCCAGAAGATATCCACTCCGTAAGCCTCTGAGTTTCTTCTCACTGAGGAAGGTCACAAAGTCATCGATGAGGTATGGTCCCACATACGATGTTGATGCACTAATAACAGCAAACAAAGCATTGATCGCCGCCTTTTTCCTTGAAAAGACATAAATAGCCTTATAGATGGACGGGCTTGTCGTCCCGTCACTTTCCTTTACATATCGCAGGCTTTCGTCAAATGCCCCAGATAAAAAACTGGCCGAGTCCATTGCATCAACATTGGGAACTTCATCATTGTCAAGCGGTTTCTTTTTTCCCACTTCAAAGAGTGGATTGAGCCACGAGAATGTGACTAACTGAAGAAGAGTTGCTTTACTGTACAGACTGTCTCTTCTACCATCCAAACAAACTTTTTCATCAAGCAGAGGTTCTGTGATGCCTTTTGATGTCTCAAGAATATTTTTCGTCCTCCCTTGAATTGAAGTGCCGAATAAGCAGGCGGATGTTATAAAGACAACAATATCGACACAGTCATGTGTCACAACTGCACGTGCCAGAGACAGCAAGAAGACGGAAATCCACCAGACTCTTAAGATCAACGGTAAGTTCACATCTTTTCTGGTTCTATATAACACAAGCAATGTGACTGCCCATGATATTACTTGTAAAACCTCAGATGAGAGAAAAAAGAATTCGCGGTCGCAGCGAGATTTGAACCCGTTGATCTCTGGAACTGATAAGAGCAGTAGATGAGTGGCTAGTGACAGAGCGGAGCAGACAATGCTGCACTTGTAGGGGAGTCCCAGTTTAAGTTTTTGGCTCTTTCCTGTCACTGTTGTTTTCTGCTTTGAAGCTTTATGCTGTAATGGTAGGAAGCTTTTCAGTATGTGGAGCATTATGAGTCCAAAGAAGCCAAGCTGCAGGAAAATGGCAATTTCCTCCCACAAACATGGTGGGATTTGAGGTGGCCATGGAATTCTTAGGTGGTCGAAGAACCTCAAATCTGCCATGGACATCATCATCATCATCATAGACCATAACATGAAAAAAAAAATATTGTGACCAGTTATGGGTTAAATCATGTCATCCAAAAAAAATTATAGGTTTAAATTTTTAAATTATACTTTCTGTCCCCCAACATGCCCCATCTTACTATATTGGTCGGTTCCAAAATGCTTATTGAGATGTCCAATCCCATATTTGTCATATTTGTGCAGTTCAAAATTGTCTCTACTTTTAGATATTCAACATCAATCATACATTTTTATTTTTCCTAGATTTTTGTATCGATTTTTCTGGTCTTAAGCTTAGAGGGACAGGCACTAAGGGCCGAGATCCTCTGTCATCCAATAGCATTCCAACTTCTTGTCCCACCAATCAAAATTTGACACACAACCTACCACACCGTCTCATTTAACACAAACTCACCTTAGGGTAAATAGGGGAGCATAATTACATAGACGGGGTAAGTTAGGTGTCAACTTTTGATTGGTGGGATAAGAAATTGGAGCACCATTTAGAGACAGAGGATCCCGACCCCAACTCCAATTATCTAGACTCGATTTTTTCTTTTTATTACAATCTCCAAACTGTAGATTTTTGCTAAACTTGAAAGAGTATCTAGACTTCTAACTCCCTTCTTTAGCAGTTAAAATCAGGGGAGGGGGGAGTAAAAAAGTAAAAAAAATATTAATACAAAATGCATATTCCTTTATGCTCTTCTCTCAAGTTTTGTGAGTGATGTGTGTATGTAGAGGATATGAAAGGGGCCCATCGTTGTAGGGCATATGCATTTAAGACACTCAAATTATTCCAAATGTTTTATAGTAAAAAAACATTAAATATGATTTTATTTTTATACACATTATGGTCCACTAGATATCTATCAAGATCCAATTCTTTTCCTCAATAATGCAATGACATTATTTTATCTTTTCCCTCTTCCAAAAGAGGAATTTTTTTTCTTCTTACATTTTAGTGTATTTTCTTCTAACATTTTCTTTTCTTTTTTTTTCTTTTCTTTTTACCCTCTAACCAAACAAAAAGGTTATTTTCTTCCTCATTTAATTTTTTCCCTTTTTTAATTTTAAAAATTACTTTAGTAGGACTAAAACATATCGCTTATTGCCAAAATAAGAGTGACATATTTTTGTCTCCAAGATATGATTAATTTAGAAAATAATTTGAAAATAAATTTTGAAGAGATTAGAGTATTTTAATCCAACAAAGTCGTAAAATAATTGTGGGTTGTCAATCATCATTCTTAATTCAAAATAAATTAGTGGACAAAATTGGAAAACTATCCGGTATGGACACGTTTGTATACATGCATATGGGTTTACGATTACATTAAAAAATACTCTCCCAGAAACTTCTCATTTCATTTTGTACTCCGTATAATATAACATTTTTATCATTAATATCAATTTTTGTACAAAGATATACTCCGTATTATTTTTAAAAAAGTTCATATTTCAAAATGTTTCAAAAAGAAATTGTTTAAATTTATATTCGAAATATAATACGGAGTATATTTTTTCTGTAAATTGAAGCCAATATTTACAATCTTTGATCAAGAAAAATCAAATGAAAAGATTAAATCTAAATGGAGGAAATATCAATCTCAATTTTTCATTATAAACCACTTCATCTCATTAAAAACCACTTCATCTCACCACTTCCGATTTAAATTTCAAAGACTAAGAAAAAGAGGTGAAAACTAAAAAGAAAGATATTTTGGGAATCACATATTTCTTTCTTTAAAAGAAATATGGTGTTTTTTGGACAAGTAAAAAATGAAAATACAGTACGTAGTACTCCATCCGTCTCAATTTGAATTATTTGTTTTGGTTTATGATATTTGACTAAAATTATTTTCAATTCAATTTATTAAAGAATTAGAGTGGACTTAAAAAATAAACTTGAGATCATAATAAACTACTCCGTATATCAAAACCTCTACGAAACAAGAAGTGACAGTGAAATAATCCATATTATTTTATCAAATGTGTAAGGAAAATGAGGAAAGAAAACGAATAATTTAAAATATGACCATGTGAATAATAAACATGCAACTTAATTTGAGACGAATAATTTTTGTAGGGACACAATAATCAATAATGAGTAAGAATCTGACGATGTTTGG